TGGCTCTGACCACTGAGCCATCTCACCAGCACTTATCTCTCTTTCCTACCTAATTGCTCTGGCTAGAACTTCCAGGATATCGTGCACAAGAAGGAGGCATGCCCACCTCATTATTACTCTGGAGCGAAAGCTCTTTGTTTTCCCACCATTGAGCACAATTTAGCTGTGGCTTTGTGGAGGGCATTTCCTCTGCATCCTAGCTGGGTTAGTACTTTTATGAAACAGCAGGGGATTTTGGGTTTTAGGTGGGGTATGGCGGTGGGGAGGATATGTGCATCTTCATGTGTATGTGCAGGTCCAGGTCCATGAGTGTGCGTGCACGTGTGGTCAAGCATGGGTGTCTTCCTCAAGTGCTCCCCACCTCAGTTTTTATGAATGTATATTTTATGCATTAATAAAGTATGCACACACAAAATATGCATATATAAAAAATATACAGTTTTAAATTTTACTTATTTTGGGGAGGAGTGCATCTATGACAGCATGTGGAGGTCTGAGGACAAGTGGCAGGAGTCAGCTCTCTCCTATTACCAGGTAGCTCGGAGAATAGAACCCAGATCATCAGATGGAGCAGTAAGCGCCATCTCAATGGTCCCACGCTGGGTTTGGGTTTGTTTGTTTGAGTCAGGGTCTCTCTCTGTGCCATGAGCACACTGACATTGCTAGGCTGGCTGCCTGTGAACCAGAGATCCTCCTGTCCCTGCCTGCCCAGTACTAGGATCACAGGTCCACGCGACCATGCCTGGCTGTTGAATTCTGCTTTGTTATGTGAAGGACTGTAGAATTTGGTCAAATGCTTTCCCTGCACTGATGGAGAGTATTTTTTCTTCTGCTACTATGTGTCTCTGCCGTGCTTACTCCCATGCAGGGCCCTGTGTGTGATGGGAGCCCTGTATTTGCTCATGGATCTCAGCCCTTTCCTGCGCGGATAGGCTCAGTCCTGCATGCTGAGATATTTTTGTATTTTTTATTACGTATTTAATTCTTTTTTATTATTTATTTATTTGTTGAGATAGGTTCTCTACATAGCCCTAGGTGTCCTGGAACTCACTATGTACACCAGGCTGGCCTTAAACTCACAGAGACCCACATACCTCTACCTCTCTAGTACTGGGTGGGATTTAAGGCATGCACCACCACCACCCAGCTTTAGGATATGCATAAGGGGTCCTGAGTTCTGGTTTTCTTTCTTGGCTTTTATGTTTGTCTGGCTTCAGCCCTTCGGTCTCACTGGCCGAGTGTGTAAATCTGGTCTGTTTTTAGGGAGAGTTCAGGAAGGATCACAGATCTTTTTTTTTTTTTTAACGTGTTGGTAGACTACACCAGTGACACCCCTGGGCACTTTCCTTTGTCAGGAAATCTTGATTGCTGATTCTATCTTTTTGTTTATTATGGCTCTAACTTGAGTCTGTTTAATAGTGTATGAGATTCCTGGGATTTTTCTGTGTCTGGCATACAACTCTCAGATTTCCTTATTGTCCATTTTATTTTGTCCATTTTATTTATTTATTTATTTATTTATTTATTTATTTATTTATTTATTTA